TGTCAGCCCGCATACTGAAGGCTCGGTTGGCATTTGCTAACTTGAGACATCTGTGGCGCCGTCGCGACATCCGGCTATCTGTGAAGGGTCGAGTGTATGCCGCGACAGTTCGGCCAGTTCTGCTATACGGTGCAGAAACTTGGCCATTAAGAAAACAAGATAAAGACAGACTGTCGGTGTTTGAACACCGCTGTCTACGCAGCATTGCACGAATTCGGTGAGGTAGCCGGACGAACAATGCTGAGGTTAGGGGCAGAGTTTTGGGTAAATACGGTCGCCCACTAGAGCAAGTGGTCGACCTCCATAGATTACGTTGACTGGGACATGTGTTACTCAGATCACTGGAAATGCTTCGGGGGCAAATGTGTACGCATTTTTCACCGATTGAAACAATCTAACGGATTAATTTGCTAATTACAATAATTCGATACAGCACGGTCTCCATAGAGCGACTAACAACCTGTTTGATCATTTGTTCCGCTGTAGTGTTTACGCCCGGGAATGAAGTTCGGACAAATGTGTGTGTCTAGCATCCATCGACTTTTCACTCCCGGGGGGAGGGGAGGGGCGGTGCATCAGAAACAAAAGAATGAATCCATCGGCAATCAGTTTCCACACTTGTGCTCAATGCATAGATAGATTCATTTGTTTCCAGTGATTAAGTTAAGTCTCCTCATCAGCAGTGCTTACCTTCTGCCCATGAGGTCCCGGGTTCGATCCTCAGTTGGGGGATCGATGGATTCGCACTACTGTTGAATGGACCCAATCAGGTCGAACCAACTGTCCAGCAATGCTTCCTAGCTTTTCAGTTCACGCTTCATTTGCTATATACACACACACGAAGAATACACCTTTGAGATTCCTTTGTGTTTTGAACTACGGGAATAAAATTACACACCCTACTCGAGCGGAATAGTTTCACCGTAGTTGTGCAAACTCCCCTCCATCCGGATGTTTTCGCATTGTTTTCCTTACTTGGTGAAACTATCGTTTCTGCCGCATTTTTACTTTAACAAAAGGAGTATAAATGGTCGAAAAATGACATCAGCGTGACTGCGTAGCATAATAAAGTCACATCATCAGTGTGTGGTTGGGCGATCCCTAACATACCGGATGTAAACTTAGTTGCTCTGGATCATCGCAATTTTTGGAGATAGTAGAATGTGGACAAAGGTGCAGGAATCATCAACCGTTCGCTGACAAATTCGTACGAGCACTTTCCAGTCCGATTTGTTGCCTTGGTGTTAACGTTGGAGGTGAGATTTGCCACCTATGCAAATAAACGCTCAGAGGATCCTTACAATAACCACAATCGCAGACGTTACTGGATATCGCAAACAGCAAAACACTTGGAATACACGAAATTATTTAATGCCACCTGTCACTGTGTCTGAAACGACTCCAGTGACCTTCCTCACTATATGTAGATATTTTCATTCTTTCATCCTTGTATTGAATATACAAAGATACAAACTTCTGGAAGAGAGAAGAGGCCAATCAAGCGAACTGCTATACAACAAATAATGTGGAAGTCAAGCGTTAGTAGGGGGTTTTCAGCACGTCTTCCAGGTTGGTAACTTGGTGACGTTACCACCGCCCACACTATNACTATTACTATACATTACATGAGTTTACCCCCTGTCTAGGACGAATCAGCGTTTTCTCTACGATCCGATAACCTTATGCGTTATTCCGGGAGAGGGCGGCTCAGAGGTAAACGCAGTCGGGACCAAGGCAATGTGGTCACTTGCAGCAGATAACCACTCTTTAATCTAAGGATTTCGGGGAGGAGGTAGCACAGAAAAACTTGACTGAAAAGAGAAATTTACTATAAATATTTAGGCGGCGGAAAAGCTGTTAATAAAAGAGTTTTTTTCGGTAATGGTTGACTCAGCCCCAGCGGTTATGGGATTTGAGCACACAACTTTCGGGACGTTATAATAGTGCATCACTCAACGCGTAATTCATGAAAACAAACCTGGTGAATCTGTCTTTACAATCGACTGTAAAATCGCCTTGATACGGGTTACCCACGGTAACTGAAACGTCGGCTTATTTTCATCTGTACCGACATCGCTGTGTTTTTAAAATTACAACTTTTATAAAACCACATGGCGCGTCGATTTTTGGATACACTCCGAACGTTGTTCGGATCTGACTCTTTGAATTTTGATACAGATTCCATGAGTCGTGGCGGTGGTTATGAAATGTGGATTAGATTGAACCAGGAGTGAAAATTTCAGTATCCTCGATGGGATTCGAACCCACGCATGAACGCCTTCTACACCTTTTGTACAGCTCACGCTTCGTTACTCGGCTGGTAGAGCTTGCACTACAAAAAGCGTAGTTGGCGTTCATGCTGAGGTTACTGAACTTTTCAGAATTTCAACACAAGCTTTGATTGTGTTTACAGTCAGACTGGGTCCGTCTATTCGAGATTAACCGAATTCACGTTCTAAGTGTCATTGGTAGTGGTAACTGATTCAAACGATACTTTGTAGTTTTGTGTAGTGAAGGGGAGGATATCACAAAAGCTAGGGCAGCTTTTGCCAATCTGCGACACCTGCGGAGCCAC